TCAAGCCTGTTGAGGTCCCTCTGAATGGCACCCCTTCCTTCCACTGTGTCAATAGCACCACTCAGCTTGGTGTCATCAACAAACTTGCTGAGGGTGCACTCAGTTCTTTCATCTATGTCATTGATACAGATGTTAAAGAGCACTGGTCCCAAAACAAACCCTGGGGGATGCTGCCTGTTATCAGCCTCCACCTGGACATAAATCCATTAATCACCACCTTCTGTCTACAACCTTTCAACCAATCCCTTATCCATGGATTGGTTCACCCATTAAATCCACATCCCTCCAATTTGGAGATAAGGAGACTCACCTGCAGTGAATGCTGCTAAAACAAGCCAAGATCACTAGGATCACTGAGTGACATCAAGAACAGCAGCACACAGTTTTGAAGCTCAATGAAAAAGATTCCTTTGAAATCAGTACCTATTGCATGCACCAAACCAAAGCCTGGTCATTCTCAGGGTTACTGTGGGGAAAAAGCCCAGTCCAGCCTTGCTGTTGGCTCCTGTACAGCCAAGTGTATGCAGCCCTGCAAGTGATTTCTGCTTGACCTTCCTGCTTCTGCCAATCCATCCAGTGGGAGAAGTCAGGTATCTATAACTGGCAATTGGCACTGTCTTCCTGAACTCCAGCTGCCTCCATCCATTTTTTTGGAAGTGGATTTACTTGTAGCTCCAGAGGATATAATTGGTTTTCTAATCCTTCAGGCATTCCAGCCCTGGGACCTCGTATTTCCTGGTTCTTCCTTCTAAGCCATAGATATTCTTCTGCTATCCCAAAGGTTGGGTCTTCTGCTCTAAACAAGATTCAATCTATGTGCCTTGAAACAATACATTAACCTGAAAGGTTCGTAGAATGGGCTGAAATTATGGAATTGAAAGGTAAAAGTGATCCTCAAGGGAAAATGGCAGTATCCAGATTCAAATCAACATATTTGAATCAACGTATTTGACATGACATCGATGAGGGAATTGAGTGCACCCTCAGCAAGTTTGCTGACGACACCAAGCTGAGTGGTGCGGTTGATACGGTGGAAGGAAGGGATGCCATTCAGAGGGACCTCGACAGGCTGGAGGGCTGGGCTCGGGTGAACCTAATGAGGTTCAACACGGCAAAGTGCAGAGTTTTGCATTTGGGCTGGAAGAACCCCAGGCACCCGTACAGGCTGGGAGGAGTGGACATGAGAGCAGCTCGGCAGAGAAGGACCTGGGGGTCCTGATGGACGAGAGACTTAACATGAGCCAGCAGTGTGCTCTGGCAGCTCGAAAGGCAAATGGGATCCTGGGCTCCACCAGGAGAGGGGTGGCCAGCAGGGACAGGGAGGTGATTGTCCCTCTCTACTCAGCTCTTGTGAGGCCCCACCTGGAGTACTGTGTCCAGGTGTGGAGCCCTCAGTACAAGAAAGACATAGAGATCTTGGAAAGGGTCCAGAGGAGGGCGACTAAGATGATCAGGGGGCTGGAGCACCTCCCCTATGAGGACAGGCTGAGGGAGTTGGGCTTGTTCAGCCTGGAGAAGAGAAGGCTGCGGGGTGACCTCATTGCAGCCTATCAATACCTGAAGGGAACCTACACCCAGGAGGGGAGTAAACTCTTCAAAAGGGCTGACAACAGCAGGACTAGGGGAAATGGATCCAAGTTGAAGGAGGGAAGATTTAGGTTGGATGTTAGGGGGAAGTTCTTTAGAAGGGGAGTGGTTAGGCCCTGGAACGGGCTGCCCAGGGAGGTTGTGGATGCCCCGTCCTTGGATGTGTTCAAGGCCAGGTTGGACGGGGTCCTGGGCAGCCTAATCTGAATGTGTATGTTTGGTGGCCCTGCTAGGCAGGGGGTTGGAACTACATGATCCTTGAGGTCCCTTCCAACCCGGGTGATTCTGTGATTCTGTGATTCTGTATTCAGTATCATCTGAGCCTTGAAAAAAGCAGAATTCAGCCTTTTATTTTTCAAGGAGGTGCTTTAAAAAAAAAAGTCACACTTATAACCAAAATTTCATATCAGATGCAACATTGTTGCATCTCAATAGGAAAGCTCTCATTAAGTATGAAGGGCCAGATACCCTCATAATAGCTTCTTTTGAAGAGCAAAATGAGTTGAAGTACTCAGCATGCCATCTTCTAATCAGGACTGAAGGTTTTAATGCAAGGCTTCCTGACAATCTCAATTCTGTAGTGCATACAGAAATGAATCTGAGATATGCGTATGTTTTTTTAATTTATTGTGTGGGTGAAGGAATGCATTTCCTAGTAATACAAAATAAGGTCTGACTACAACTGTAACCAGGACTATCTGCTCAGGTGAAAACATTAGGTGATCACATCACAAAGCTCCCCATTTAGAGAAATACTCTGGGAATGATTTGTCCCTCCAACCACACAGATGAGAACATTTTGCCTTGAATATTGCATACTATTATCTATGGATACACCAAGTCAGCCCCCAATAAAGTAGCCTAGATTCAGTTTGAGCTCTTAGAGCGCATGTAAATAGCCCCAGATTTGAGTTCCCATTAAGCTTGTCAGTTCTCTCAGTTTCTCTTGCCTTTAAACAAGCCCACGTCTCACTCTACAACTGACCCAACTGTTCTGTCATCTCTGCTTATTCATTACAATCTTTATAACTGCCATCCTTTTTATTCACTCATGCAGCTAAATCCTTACCTACCTTCACCTTAACTTTGTATCTTTTCCATACATTTTTTTCAGTACTTTGGACTGCAAAATTACAGTCTCTTTTTCTCCCTCTCTCTATTGAAAGCCATCCAAAAACCTGTTGCAAGGACAACAGTTGAAACAAAACCTGATTTGTAGTTCTTCTGTCTTACACATCTGCAATGTCAGGTCAATAAAACTTTCAGTGAAGTAGATACGGAGAAAGTGTTTATTGCTAGGTTTGGGCTAATGGAAAAAAACAGTAAGAATGAGGAACATATGGCAGATACTGCAGCACTCAAAAGTATTTCCAACCTTAGTTTGTATTAGGCTGAGCCAAGATCTTTCTGGCTTTCCAGAAGTCCGATCAGGTTTAGCTGACTAATCTTCTGGAACTCTTCTAAGGACGAAGGAACATGCCCTGTGGTCAGTCTGTTAAAGTAACTCAGGAAAAATCAGCAGCAGCTTCACCATGTTCCTCTTGGTTAATGATTGGTCAGGACAAGAAGGCTGACTGCAGGGTCTTTGACCCATGAATGTGTCTGTAATAACTAGGGTCATGGTACTTCCTGTAGTGCATTTTGAAAGTCCAAAGTCAGTAACCCTTGAGTAATTGGGACTGTTATTGAGCAAATTACATGTTTTAAAGCAATGACATTATGTTAATTACCTGGGGGAAAATCAAGGGGTGAAAGTTTGTAACAACAAAACAGAGCTAGAAATTAAACTTGGGACAATCCATCATAAATTCAGTCCAAAATCCTATGTTTGGTCAGTTTATGGTTCATTGCTAATTTGAGCTCTGGAATGGGTCCTTGGAGAAATCACTTCTGATGGTTCCCAGCCCTGGAGTTGTGGAGTGAAGCCAGGTTGCAGCAATGGCCCCACTTCTGCCAAGAGGAGAGGGGGAAGAGAGGGCTGCCAACATAAACCCCTCTGATAGGGGACATGGATGTTTGCAATGACAAAGTAGTAGTGGTACAGTCTGCCCAGGGAAGTGGTGGAATCACCAATCTTGGAGGTTTTCAAGAAAAGGGTAGATGTAGCACTAAGGAATGTGGTTTATTGGGGATTGTGGGGATGGACCGACAGCTGGACTTGGTGTTCTTAGTGGCCTCTTCAAACCTTAATAATTCTATGACTGTATTATTCAGGAGGAGTGGGGGAGATGGGGACTTTAAATCCAGACTTCAAATCAGTTCTCTGAAAGAACTATTAGGTGTCTAAGAACAAGAACATAGTGTTATTAAAAAAAAAAACATTCCCATTAAATGGTTTGGTTGAGTAGCTTGTGGTACTAATAGGAATGGGAGGGTGGTTGGATTAGATGATCTTGCAGGTTGTTTCCAACCTTGTGCTTCTGTGATTAAGAAATTTAGTCAAGCCTGCCAAATCAACATTGTAATGTCAATATGAAATAGCATAAGCTCTCATCTCCAGATCTCATTTTCTTAAATTTTTTTTGGAGTGAAAGATGAAATGGTACTTGAGCTACTTCGACTGATCATTAAAAAAAAAAATCTGGAGACACCTTTTTTCAAGGATTATTTATTCACTGCAGGGAGGAAAACTACAGCAGCCAAAGATTCTCCCAAGTCCTTTTCATACTGAAGATGATACTGCATGGAAATTTAACTTGTACATTAATAAACACATGCTGTCTCAAAGGGTTCCAATACCCTTAGGACATAACACAGTATTGGCTCAGATAGAGGCCATGCCATCTCCCTTTTTCATCTGCACAACAGTCACAATGCTTTTACAGTGTTACACGGATATACTTCCACCTGAAAACTCTTTGGAGTACTGGTCGATATAGGGGCCAGTACTTCCTACTCTCAGTTCACTAGAAACCATTAGTTAGATGAAAGAGGGTCACTGTTTCCCCACTTTCCTTAGTTTGAAAGTAGTGAAAAAGAATATCTGAATGCTTAATATTCAGAAGAGGTTTAGTCCTCTTTCAGCAACCTTGAATAAATGACAGAGAACAAGCTAACACCTTAGTGGCAGCTTATTCTAATGATCAAACTGGTCCATCACTGGGGAATAAATGTCCTACCGAAGCAAAAACATTGTTAATCCCTAAAGAAATGCATTACATAGAAGGAAAATTTACTTAAAATTGTCCTACTATCTTTGTTAAAAATAAAGAAGGCAGTTTGTATTGTTATCACAGATTTTGCAGTATACTTGGCTGAAACAGCTTGAGTGAAAACCAGGAATCAACATTGGTTCCTGCAGTTTGAATATCTCTGAGACTTTTTCCCCACACCACAATACAATGGTGAATAAACTCAGAATTCTGCACTGCAAGCTTGTTCCATCTGAAATGACACATAAGAAAAGAACTGACCTTGTTTCGATTGACATAGACGATTAATCCATGTTCTCTGCTTCATATCCTTTGTATTTTGATCTTCTAACCCAAATAGATCATTTTTGTATTAATCAATCCTTCTAATACTCCTCTGGTTCTCCACTGAGGTTGCTCCACACCTTTCTGAGAAGTGAACCAAATGAAAGAGCTCACCTTTTCATTTCCACCTCTGTCTATTTAGAAGTGGCATCTGGAAATGCCCCATTTCTCTACTTATGTTTATGACTGCAGCACTTAGCGTCAGAGCCATTTCTCCTTCTATCTTTCTATTTGCTTTAGTGAGACTGTGCTTTTATTTTTTTTCCTCCCCTCATAGCCCCAGTTTTGCAAAGGAAAAGGTTCTGCTACAGAAAAGAAAATCAGGAAAATAATTTATATATGTATTATTTTATATATATTTAATATATACTTTATGTGTGTACAATAAATAATATATCTCTATATAAATAAAATATCTGAGATGCCTGGTGCAGATTCCTAATCTCTTGCAAAATCAAAGAAAAAAAATAAAGAACAGTACTGGATTTTAGGCCCTATTTATTGGGACTGAACCAGACCCAATTAAGTTTATACAAACTGCAGAACAATGTACAGATGAGAAATACTTAAAATTGAGGATGGCCTTAGCCAGAATTTCTTTCAGATTTCAAGTGAATGGATGGATAGATGGTCTGTTGAATAATATCATGCAAATGCTGTTTCTGAAGGTAGATCTCTCTTACTATCCTAGCTTTCTAATCCATGTTCAACTCAGCAGAAGTACAAAGTAAAATCCACTCAGCCAGCACTTGTTCTTTTGTTCTTAGTCTGTAGGGAACTACCCATAGCAATGCACTATAGGACTGAATTATCAAGTGAATTAAGGACTGAGTGAAATTATCAGTAGTGTAGACGTACAGGATTTCCACTGTATAGAAGATATATGGCATAGTTCTTCACTACTCATTTTCTAGTCTAACCAAGAAGATGCCATAATATTAATTTGAACTTACCTGATTTATGTTTATTGTTCCTAATGCTAATGCACTGCATCAGAAGAAAGGAGGAAGAAAAGATAGAGATGAGCTGATACCCACGAGAACAAAGATAAAGATAAATTACAGAGAATAAATTATCCAGTTTAATGTATCAAAGTCTATTGAAAGTAATAGAAAGAACATTTATCAGAAGGTTGGGAGAACACGTGATCCTCAACTGTCAGGCTCTATTCATTTGAAGAAGATGTATCATTCTCTGGGGCATTCATGCATTTTATGGGGACTGGAACAGTTAGTCATTAGTCATCATGCATATCGTTGATCTTAAATAAACCATAAATTTAAGAATAAACTTTTAAGTTATACACATATGGGTTTTGATTCATAGGGCAACTTGAGGACATGCCATAGTTTGCTGATTTAGTAAGATTGCTTATCTACTCGATTACGCATAATCATCTTTCTGAAAGTCAGCTCTACCTTTGAATTTTATTACATAAAGCAAGGTGGGTCCAAAGACTCAATGGAGTTACCTGTTTCTTTTCACTGAGCTTAATGTCCATGTCTGGTGCCTTCAGTACAGCAAGTGGTGATGCCAACCATCTCACAGACTGCTCTGCAGCCCTAGAGAAAGAGCAGGATGGATTATTATTGTATGTGGAGAAGACAAAGGACACAAGGACTGTCCAGCTTGGAAAATAATTAGATCTGACATCGTTAAAGATCTTTCCCTGGTCCTCACCAGGCAAGACATGGAGCTAGATGGATCCACTCACCCTTGTCTGTATGTCTGTACTCAGGCTTCCTGAAGAAATCCACACATCTCCTTCTATACAGACTCAGGAATTACTCAAGAAACTCTCTGCTTTTGAGCAGGTTTCTCAACTGGTTTGTAATACATTTTTAAGAGCAATGGGAAAAAGATGTTGTGTTCTTTATTTATGCGTTTTCAGTATTATTTCTCTATTTTTACATATTTTCAAAATGTAAGGTGCATTTCCTATGAACATCTGACATCACACTGTCATTGTCTTCCCTGATGCTCATCCTTACCAAACAGAAAATAAATTAAACTTGTAATAAACATGATATAATCATTGCTGAAGATAAATGAGGAAATTGTTCACTGCTATACATGGATAAAAGGTCCCTACTCTAATTAGTTAGCAATGCATAAGAGAAGGAAAAAATAGAAAAAATACAGCAGAGGTGCTCAGAAATTAACAAGAGCATGGAATGATGTTTAGATGCCAAGGTCTTAGCATAAATGATTTTTCTGTGTTTCACAGAGAAGAGAATTGGTGCACTCCTGCATCTTGTCTGGGGATGCCTGTGAAAAGTCAATCCATCTGTTCATTTTCCATTTTTACTGATTTATGAGCAGAAAAATACAGGCTTCATTAATGTGCATTGCTGTTAGAAGATGCAGCTAGGAAGCTGTGCACCCACAAAATTGAAACTGATATAAGCTTCAAGTTTCTACAAGCAGTGTTTTCATATCAAAGCTAATTTTCAGCCAAGCAGCTTGCAGTTCTCTGAGATTCTGGATTTGGCATACCCGTGCTTGCCAGGCCAATGCAAGTATAGAAGCACTTCTCTGAAAACTTCTGATTGCCTGTTTTCCAAACCACACCTGGCAGAGCTGTATTCCTGGGCAATAAGGCAACAAAAGGATAGGAATTCCTCTCCTTTGGAATATTTTCTAAAAATTTAATGCACATGAACTGAATTCTTTGCAAAAGACAGCTATTTGAAATTCTGCTAATGTGCTCTGGATCCTGTCAGATTAAACATGGAAAATCCATGGGTTTCAATTTTGTACAAGTAACTGTCCCTGTTATTTTGAGTGTCATTCATAGAGTCATAGATTTATTGTTATTGTTCTGCTTGATCATAACTGCAGCAGACATGCCATTTAGTAGCCTTACTGGCATTACAAATAGCCATCCTTTGGATTGCTTTTTTGATTAATTACATTTATGCTGACATCTAAAGCTTGTTAAAGATCTTCTAAGAAAACACATCCTTCTGTCAGAAAATGTGTCAAATTACATTATTTTCATGGGAACACATTGCTTTCAGTAAAAACGAGCATCAGAAATGGAAATGGAGCATAGTAATAAAGCAAATGATGCAAAATGTACATTTAGAGATAATAATGAAAAAGCTGAGATCTAAAGTAATAGATTTTCAAAGATGTTGCTCTTGGTGAAATCTTGAAATCTGAAAGTCTGCTGTAATTCAAGAATAAAAAGATGCTGACAATTCAGAACAATTCACAAAGTAGATATCTATTCTGGTTTTTAGTTCTCTTGTCTGTAGAATTTATCAAGTTTATCAATGCCAGTAGAGTCCTGCCTTCAGTTCCACCTTCACACCACTTGGGGCTGTAGGATAAGAACTACTCCTGCAAAAAAAAAAAACACTGATAACCCTGGAGCGAGCCATATAGATGCACTGGACTCATAGAAATCATTCAGCGTCAAGTCAGACATATGGGAAATAGACTAAATTATGTAAAATATCTCTGCAGTATCTCTCCAGTTATACCTTCCTTGGTCCATTTTGAGATTTAGATCCATATTTAATAAACATTTAAGCATCTGCTTTACTTAAGTACAAATAATAGTGCAAACATCTACTCATGGGCTCAAAGTCATGCATACATTTACCTAATTAACACAGAAAGTCTTGACTAAGTGGTTGTTTTATAGTGTATTTATAGAGTTCCCAGAATATCCAAGTTCCCTTCTCAGTGGGAGGGAAAACTACAGGTGATACAGCATGATTTGCTTACAAAATCTCTGCTCTGGGATTTTTTTTAACCCTGTAACATTCCTTTGTGAAGACAAAAAAAAAAAAAATGCAGACACAGTTTTCTGTGTTCTTGTGGGCTTCTGATGTTATTTCAGTTTCTGTATTTTCCACTAACCTTGGATTAAACAGGAATCATTTCTCCCTATTCAAAGTCCTCCTCGTGACAGCTTTACTGCCTAAGTTTTGTTCCTGTAGTCACTCTCTCTGTGCTAAGCTGCTGACAGCTATAGGGAAGGAAAAGGCTCAGATCTGCAAAAGAGAGCTATTTGAAATTCTTAACATTCTCTTTCTCATAACCCTATTACATTGCTGTCAATTTTTAGCCAGCCTTGACTATAGTTTATTTCCAAGCAAATGCTATTTTCAAGGAATGTACCCAACTGGCAAATTCAGAAAATGAAACACCCTGTTCAAAGGACAAGGTCAGTGGTGTTACAAGTCTTAGACATTTGCATCAGCTAGCAATGTGCAGCTAGCTATGGTGGCCTCTCCAGCCCAGGACAGGGCGAACCTTTGGAGATTTTCCATTCCTGACTGCCCTGAAAGGAGTGACCAACAATATGTTTTTCACTTCTGCCTGGTCCTTCTGCACCTGGGCAGATTTCTGTTCACAGGTAACCAGAACATTGCTAACCTAGTTCCAAAAGCACTCAGCAAACAGACAGTGCTGATTAACGAGCCAGTCCTGGTCAGTGAGCTCAAAGAATTTCCGCTGTTAAAGGCAGCATCTCAGTAGAGCATTCAGTATCTTCCATGACTGCCAGACTGATGCACAGGATCTGAATTCGTGCAAGACACCATTTGGAGCATCTATCACATCTATTCTCTTGAGCAAGCCACGTCCTATATCTTCAATCACACAAAATATTTGGCTGTTCTTCCCCATAGTATGCTTAACAAAAAGGCCACAATAGCACAAATCATCCTAACTGTGACTTTGGTTTGGCCACGTAGCAGATCTGCTTCCAATTCAAGATGAAGGAAATTGTAAAAGTTATGAAAACAAGTACTTGTGCTTAAGAAGTAACAAGAATGTAAGCAGCACTTCTCCAACTCATGAAAAGTTGGTTTTTACTGGAATTTTATCTTTTCACTTTTTTTTAAATCTGCAAATTTTAAGATTCTGAGATTTTTTTTCCTGATCAAATTGTATAGTTTCTGCATCTTCAGCTTCATTTATAACACCTCTGCAGTGTTTTCTACCATACTCTACTCAACTTGATAGCTTCTTCCCACAGAATCAGTTAGGCCTATATACATTTAGAAGAAGGAGCTGGCTTTTGGGGTGTAAATTAGTCTGCACAACAAATGTATTTCCACTTAAGTTATTTCTTCCAGTTAAAGTGGAAAGTTCTACCTGCAACCGATAGGATGCTGTTGTATTTTTGCATTGCTAAAACTATCTAGTACATACCACCCCACGTGCAATAAAATAATGTAACACCTGAACTTTTAGCACAGACACATGCAGAATATAAACATGTTAGAGGAGGATAGGTCTCTGATCTGTCCCCTAGGCACTGGGAATTTTCCTAGGAGCAATGTCTTTTCTCTGCCATCTAACCTAAGGGCACAGAAGCCTGTTACAGGTAAGCTGACCTTGTGTATTTTGTGCCAGCCAGAAGCTGTGCTCTTTTTCCCTCCTCCAAACAAAGCAGCTCTAGCTCTGGTGCACATTTGGCCTTGTTGACCTTGGCCTACAACTACTGAGAAGAGGCAACCCAGGGGTTAAGTAATAATCTATCTGCTCTCATAGCTATAGCTGGCATGCTATAGCTCTCCAACAGAGTTTGAATATTGAATATTAATACACAGCCACCTTTTGAGATGGACGTCTGTTGTTAAAAGCAATGTAAAACAAAAACTCTTATGACATACCTCCTCCACACAGAGCAGCTGCTCCCATTCCTGTTTGGTTCTTCATCAGAGGTGTGGAGTTCACAGAGGGAAATGTGAGAACTCAGATGAAGTGCCAAAGTTTTTTCTGCAAACATATTCTTCCTCATAACAATGACTTGAAAACAATCAAACACCTTGAGGAAATATAGAACCATCAGCAGTCACAAAACACAGCAGACATCACTTTACAAATACTACTATTCGCTGAAAGTCATCCTCCCTCCAGACAGATCTGAGTTTTCCTGTTTTGAATGAGGAAAGCCAACAGGGAGGGACTGAAGCCTTGACTCTTTCCTATCTCATTATAGGAATGAGTTTTAATCCATCTGGGATCCAACTGTCCACACATCCAGACAGAGAGATGTACAGCTCAGTTGTTAACTCAGCAGCCTTTCAGCAGGGAGACAACTGTACGTGCTTGTATCATGTGGGGAAGCTGAGCATCGGATGGGAGATAGAAGACAGAAAACGTTTCTGGAAAAAGTCGTTCATTGCTTTTTCATTGTCTGTACATTCTAGCTGTTTTGGGAATAATGCACCAAAAATCTTACCAGCCAGAAAACAGCAATAAAAGAGTCTTCAACTTTTTGATCTTTCCCCTTATTTTTCAGTTTTCTACTCTGGATTTGTTGGTTAGGGTGGCAAAGTCCTTCATACAGCCCCTGCAGTTCATAAAAGGTAAGGGATAGATTATGAGTAGCAGAAAGGGACTTCCAAATGCTCGTTATGAAAGTTTACTGTACATAAAAATGGAGTAGGTTCCTGAGCTGTCATACCTCAATATGGTCTCCAGTGTCTCTTGGCCTCTCCACACAGTCATCCTCAAGCTGCTGCAATGTGGCTCCAATACCAGTCCATCTTGCTTAAGAGGAAATGGCCTTCAGCAGCTGCTCATGCACGCCCCTACAGTTATCTGTTGGGAAGGTCTGGGTACAACTAACCCTGCTTAGTAAGAGAGACTGCACTCAGTGACCTGTCAATATACCTTTAACAGTCCAGCCCTGGCTGATCTTTTGTATTTGAGGGCAATGCTGCCTAAATCTGATAAAGCTGCCCCTCAGAACCTTTCTATCAACATAACAGAAAGACAGTTCAGCAGCAGACAGAAAAAGCCTAAGGCTGCAGTGGTGGTATTGCTACCGGGGACGTGCTTGTGGAGCTGCAGAAAGCAGAATATGCTTGTCTGTAGTCAGGTAAGGATATACAAGGAAATAAATCAGAACTCGTGGGCTGAAAGAAAATGTACAAAGAAAGAAAAGACAGGAAAAATACAATAGTAATAACAATAATGATATATAAAATACATATACAAAACTAGTGATGCACAAGGAATTGCTCACCATCCACCAACCGATGCCCAGCCAGTCCCCAAGCAGCAGCTGCCACCTGGCAACTCCCTACCATTTTTCAATCTTTTTTCTAGCATTTTCATCCTCTTTCTTCCACAAGTGCTGCTTGGGTACTGATTTACATGTGACAGTATGTACTGCTGTTTTTCTTGTGCAAACCTGGGGGTTTGCCCCTAGGAAATACAAACCATAGGGACACACTGGCTGCGTATATCCTTTGGCAGATCTTACAATCACAACTCAGCAGAGGTCTTAAAAGTATAATTTTCTTCATGCTTTATAAATTCCTGTATCTTAAAATGTACGTGATTGCGCTGTCTCTGAGGTTTATTTCACCTGTCCTACAAGAGGTTAAGAGATCAACAGTGAAAGAGCCTGCTAAGAAGTGGGAAGAATCAAGGCTTTCCTGTGCAAGTACAGCCTAGTCCCTAGGATCCATTGAGATCCATTATAAGTTCCTATGCCTTCTGTAAGTCCCTTTCTTATCAATATACATGCCAATCAACCTATTCTGGGTAGCAAAATTTGAACCTTTCATCAAATACCCCTGCAGAAAAATTGTTCTTTCTACCAAAGCTGTTCAATGAATTACAGAGAACGGTCCTGGTTTCAATACAGGATCTCACATACTGTTCAGCCACCAGAGACAGGTACCATATTTTGAGTCTATTTTGGCTGCAGTTTTTGTGTGCTTTTGCGTATTCAAGGGTATAATCCTTGGCCAAAACATTTCATCAGATATCTTAAAGATCTAATCCCTCCATTGCTGAATGGTGGCAGAACTCCCACTGACACCATGAAAACAGGATCAAGATCTTAATCTTTTATGCAAAGCATAAATGCATGTTTTTCAACTCTTGAACCCCAAACACCACCCATATCACTGCATTTTTCTGCTGTATATTGTTTAGTATTTGCCCAATGTTGAGTTTGCTACAGCTTCCACTTGACTCCCTGAGAAAAAGAGAAAAAATAGAGGGAGAGGATCTGTAGAACACAGATTTAAAAACAAAAAAAAATTCTGCCAAGAAATTTGGAGGCCAGCATGAGAAGTTTCACAGAAAGGAAAGCAGGACAAAACTGTGTTAAAGGAAAGGAATGGGTAAATTGATCCAAGTTCAACTGAATTCAGTGAAATTATAACAGTTTGGCCAATCCACTGAGTATTCAGCCTGTGAATAGTAATGGAATTTTAACATATTACATTTCACTAGTGTGCTTTACACAGATATTGTCCGGATTTTGAAATCTAATGACAGCGTAATTCATACCTAGCCTATGCAGACTGTCAACAAGTCAGCATGAATACTAAATTCAGTCTGAAGTAAAAAGTTGAAAAAATATTGCATGCTTTAAAAATTCTCTTGGAAATGACATGTAGCAAATATGCCTTAAAAGAAAATAGAGATTTCGGTTGGATTATGTATTCCATTGTAAATCTTGAGTAATATCAATTAAATCATTTTAGAGTTTCAACTTGAAGTCTTCCACTGGGCTTTCCAATGCATTAGAAGCAAAGTGGCTTTGGTTTTGTTTGTTTGGTGTTTTGTTGGTTTTTTTTTTTTTAATGCTTTTTTTTTTTTTTTTTAAATCTAAATCTGTGAAAACCTAGCAAATAGACAAATTAAGATGCTACTTTTAGAAAGAAAAATCATATTTCACAATAGCTGATGTTCAAATTACTCACTAAATAGTATTTATTTTCCTTGCTGAATTTTGTTCAGAATTTTCAGTTTAACACATCAAGCACCGTTTGACATTTCCTGGCAAAGGATAGAAACCATCACAGCATATAAGAAATCCATCCCAGCTGCCTTGGAGTGATATCTGCTTGGTAGCATATGGACCCATCCTATGGCACTTACAGTCTTCTCACATTTATGGCAACAGAGGCAGTCAGAAATACCCAAGGAAACAGAATTTGCCAGATTAGTAACTTTAAAAAGTTGTATGAGGACATTTTGAAGAGCAGCCAAATGAAAGACAGGAAAATACCCACCAGATGGCTGCAGCTGGCAGCGCACTGGGAGTGCCCAGATGTCATGTACTGCATCTCCACATCACACCGTGCTGGGGCTCAACTTCCCCTGACAGATGAGTTATGAGTTTTCATCCCCGTCATCTGTGAAGTAGGCTTTCCTGTCTTAATTCCACAGCTTGGCTCTGATTTTCAGCTCGGATAAGTGCCTATAGATCTCTCACGGTGTTGACAATACTGTACAGAGAGAGATATAAAATAAAAATTATGTCTTGTTATCATTCAGGAAGTACCCCATAAAGCTCAGCACCACAAGCATTGATAACGATTTACCTAGGAAACTAAATCTGTGCAATCCCACTCCAGCTCTCAAAGGCTTATTTCATCAACCATAGAGAAAAGTCACCCCCGGTACACCAGGCCCATCTGTGAGAACTCTTGTCAAATGAACTGACTGCAATTGGCCCCGCATCCTTTCAAGCCCCAGGAGTGGGACATGAGGTCAGTGTCTCCTCCTGCTGTACCAGCTGCCACCTTACCTCTTCAGAAGACCTTTACCTACAGCATTGTGGAAGCCATCACATCTGCCTATTTTCTCAGCATAAACAAAGCCCTGGTCTGGGAACTGCTCTTTCTTCTCTCTTTCACTATATTCTGTGGATAGCTCATGTCCATGCTGTGGCTTTTGAAATGCCAACTGCTGAGACTTTAATCAAGCACCTGGCTCTGTTCAAACTGAAAATCATAAAAACAGTTCTTAGGTCTCTCTTCCGACTCTTAAAAAATGATTCTTTAAGTCTCCAAATACTCTTTCAGAGCTTTTTGCATCCATACAGAAGGGAGATCCCCTGAGCAGGCCATGGATGCAGAGTGAAACTTGGGATATGTTTGTCTGATGTCTGATCACCAAAGTCAGCTCTTTTGAAAAGGAAGTAAAAGAACACAGCTGAAACCATTCTGTATGTGACACCGTGGTCAGTACTTGTCCCTTTCATGTGTAAAATGGCAGTGTTACTGTCTGACTGTGTGATGAACACAGGGATTTCCTTAAAGTCACCAGTATTGCCTTGGAATAAAATTATCAGGGAGAGCAAACAAAGCCTGCAGTGTTCTTGGAAAAGGGAAATCACAGCTATGCTTTTGTTTTAGCAGCTATAATAATTCACCCATAGCTCAGTAAGTACTCCGCACCTTAGTTTATAGAAAAGCACAGAAGACCCAGGATTTGCACCTGTTCAGCTGCAGAGACATCTGGTTGGGTCCGAAGAGGCTTCGTTGCTCTCTTCCTTGCATGGATCCTCCTGGTGAGAGCAGCATTCCCTCCGAGAATGAAGACATAGGAAGCACGTGGCTGCCCTTGGCAGGACAGCGGGGTTTATTTCTTTCCTTGTTTGTCTTATGGAGGCTGTTTCCCGAGGCTTGGATTTAATGCTGAGATCCAGTGTCCTTGGGGTATTTTCTTACTTACTGGAAAGGGAAGTTTATGTGTATTTTCGGAAAATGTGTTTTGATTTAATTTGCTTGTTGTTTCTCTTTTAGGATCTATTTTTTTTCCCAAGCAGCAGAAAACTAAAATTATGGGCTTCAAAGGGTCCTGCAACTGTACCAAACACGATCCAGATGCAAGAGTGAAGAAAACATTTACAATATGATCCAGCTATGGTTCAACCAGTCACAACCACCCCAGCCGCCTTCTCAGCTGTCCTCTGTCACAGATGAATAAAGTGTCTGTGGGAAATGATTTGCTGATAAAGTAATAGTAATTCTTATTTCCAAAATATGTTTGGCAATACAGAAAGCTATTCTGATCACTGCACTCAGGTTGCTCCCAGCATTAAAAAAATAGCTAGAAGCAGAAACCTTTAAGTAGGAACTGGCACAGTGCTCGCTACAAGCAGAAAGCAGCCACAATGGTGAAGGGAACACTGTGAAGCATTACCCTGGGAGCTGCATGGCACAGTGCTCAAGGGTCCTGCCCCAGTCTCCCTCTGCATAGTAATTAAAGGGAGGTCATAAATTCCATCACCCTTAAGCAGAAGCACAAGATCCTCTGACAAGCAGAGCGCTTGGCAAAGATACTAAGCAATGTCCCTGTGGCGGGTTGTTATGCACCCTTCATCTAGAAACGCCCTGGGGTCATTTTGCATCATCCCATGCTTCCAAAAAGCTGAGGTCTTGATAGCATCCACTCTGTTTATTTACTGAGAAGGAGGGATGAAAAGCAGATTTCAATGTGTACAGCCTTTCCTGCCTCCAGCTGCAAGCTCAGCAACACCAAGTCTTCAAGCTCAACAAAGCTTTGTACTGCAGCTGTGCCCTGCAATGTAGGAAAGCACTTCCACTAACTTTTCCTGTCAGCCTCAGCACTTAGATTGCTGCTGCTCCCCTCCCCAGGAGAGCAGAGCTCCCACTTAACCTACTGAAGCCACCTGCTCTCCCCTCAGCAAGCTGGCCATCTTCTGCAATGCATCTCCCTTACAGAGGAGGTTTGGTCCCCCAGCCCTTGCTCACCCATGTCAGTTTGCATTGTCAGGACAGTGAACTGCATTTCATGATGATCTTCCCTCCAGATAGATCCAAAGCATTTTGTAAACAATTATGTAATTAAGCAAACCAAACCGAGGAGGGAAGGCAAATTCCTGTACAGCAAATTCTATTTGGATGTTGACAAGCAGATATTTTACTATCATCCCAGCAGGAGAAATGAGAACTCTTGGTAGGGAAACTCAGAGTGGAAAGGAAATATCTGCATGACCCACAGGTAACAAGTCAGATGATTTACAGTTCCATCTAGACAACAAGCAACTTACAAGGCAGGCCGGTTCTCTTTCTCCACTGCTCCCAGGGAGAGATTGCTGCAGAGTCTCACTGAGCTGCTGGAGATGAATGACCAGTTTCTTGCCTCCATCTGTTTGCCACCACATGAGATCGACCTCACACTACAGTGGTACATCTCTAGTGAGCTGCTGCTGAGAGAGAATAGCCAACAGGGGATAAATCAAAATAAGTTACTAAAATGGCTTTCTTGTTTTCCAGTTTTTAATGCTCCTTGTAGTCTGCCTTTTCCCCCATAGGTTAAAAATTACTCTAGATTTTCAGGCATTGATGGGGGCCAAAACCTCTACATCCTACACAAGATTTTGAGACTGAAAAATGAAAATACCAGGAGAGGAAAAAAATATTTGCAAATAAAAAGCATTCTTGCTCTATTGGCTTTTCTCATATCATGGGAGTCATACAACAGCTTGTTTTCTTGGATCCTCTTCCAAATAATTCTTTGTCTCTACTGGTGGTGAATAAGACCCATGCTCATCAAACACTTCTGTTACCCAATGTAATCACACAGACAAAGCCTGCCTGGATGCATGTTCTCATTCGGGCAAATCTAGAGACCCACTACATGAAAAAACTGAAGGGCAGCAAGAGTACTGGAAGACAGAATACAGAGGTCAACTTCCCTTATAGCACTGAAGAAACCCTCATCCAAACTGCCCTGATCCAAAAATTGACAATGTGGGTCTGGATCGGGAAGAATGGTAAGATTTAGTTCGTTTCATATCCTGGCCAACGAAGGTCAACTAGAGAGATAATAAAAAATGTTTTACCTGTGGCATGAGGTGAAGGATAAATGGAAGTTACTGCAACTTCCCTGTCTGGGGGAGTTACAACACAGAGAGTGCCAAAGTGAAACAAGGATCTTTTCAAGCCAGGATAGTGCTTAACTTATCATGCTTGTTTCTGATTGTGTTTCACTTCACGTTTCCAGGCACACTAAAAATATATGACTAAATAGGTAACTCCAGTGTGGAAATTTCCATTTTAAACTAGCATCCTTCCAAAAAAAAAAAAAAAAAAAAAGAAAAAAAGAAAAAGAAAAAAACATGGAAAAATAGACAGCTGCCCAAAGGCTATCTTATTTGCATAATGAGTGCTCCCCATCAAAAAGAAAAATTAAAGCCCTTTTAGTTCAAATTTAACGTTAGCAACATTCTTGAAAACTGCCCCAGGGTGCAGAAATATGCATAAGTGTTTCTACTCTGGTGCCAGAAGTGATTGCACCTTCAGGAATGGCTTTTTAAACCATTTCACACTCTCACTCAAACTATTTAAATACCTGCTTGCAGCTCCCATGCTGTTTTTTGTTACAGACTCCATCATAAATGCTGAATCCCAAGCACCTCTCAAGCTACATCCTTGGGAAAGCATGGGAAGTCACACAGGGACAAGGGATGCTCATTTCCAAAAGGATCTGCCACAATTCGTAGACCTCCTAATCACATCTGATGGCTTTCTGAAGTCCCCTCTCACATAATAGTGGCATTGTAAATCAGATGCCTGGGATGCTTGAAGAATAGTTTAAAACTTTCTTGTCTTCTTAAGTTCCATATTTTTCCTTTGCTTTATACAATGCTTTCCTTAAGCTTTGTATAAACATAAGGTAAGAAAGCTGTTGTTCATGTTTCATTATTTCCCCACTGAGAAGCCACAATAAGTTTTCTCTCTCTTCAAGCAACAGCCTACGACACAAATCTAAGTCTGTTATTCCTACATAGTTCCTATTCTTATGGAACATTTTCAAATGGCCACATAAGCACCAAATTTTAGAATAAGTCATTATGATATACAATGAAAAAAAAAAAAAATCATCTCTCCCATCTTATTTTGCTGCACAAAAAAAAAAAAAAAAAAAAAAAAAAAAAAAAAAAAAAAGCAAACAACCACAACATAGCTTTCAACAACATTCCAACGAAGATTAAAATGAAAAACAAAACAAAACAAAAACTAGTGGTAAGAATAATGAGCAAAGCAAATGGGTGGGCTGTCTGTTGGTGTTCTCTGGTAAAGCCCGGAGTCAGTCTTGAAGCTCTGTTTCAGTAAAGACATGAGCTGCTGGACTCCAAACAGGACAATCAAAAGAAATTCTGTGGTTAACGCTATACAGATCTTAAAGGTCCATTTTGACCTGAAAATCTGCACTGGATGCCTACACTGCTGTGTTAGTTCAGGACCTGTACTCAGACTCAAGTTCTGTGGTTCACACGACGACTCTGGTCTGCACTACACCACGCATCTCGCCTGATGGTTACACATCTGCATGAAAGGGATTGGACTGAACTGGATTTGCCCTCTAGCTGGGAAGCATGTTCAGTACAGAGGATTTAAACATTATGGTGAAGATCACAGTTTAAGAAAAGAAAGACAGAAAAAGTTTGCCTGCATGTCATAAACAAGTCTGCTCCAAATAGACTGTATTATTAATTGGTATTCCTTATCCCTCACAGTTAACATTTCTGCCACTTGACAAGAGCACAGTTACTACCCTGCAGACTACGAGACCTGTCACACACCAAGAATAACAGCTGAGAAATGGGAGCAATTAAAAGGTTAGCAACTATTTCACGTTTATTTCTAGGATATGATTATGTAATTATGTGCACTAAACAGACATGGAAAACAACAGCCGGAGCACAGAGAATCAGCGGACAGAACAAACGACTGTATTTACAAGGCATATTGTTAACGATGCCTAATGTAATCTGTCAGAGTGACACTATGAGGGACTAATTAAAGCAAAACCAGAACAATAACGTGTGCTCAGGAAAAACACTGGGGATAGCATGGACAGACTTCAGGATTCTGCAAAGAGCTCATGTCTGCCAGCATGAAGTGTTCTGTGGTAGTACATTTTACTTTCTTTGAAGCAAAGCCTTTTCCACGAGGATAGCTTTCAATTTAACTCTGCAGCTGAAGGATTTCAAAAGGATTCAAGAAGTATAAATGAATGTTTTTTTAAAAGTACTCTTGAACCCTGCACAAGCGTGTCCTTGTAGCACAGACTACAGGGATGCTGACCAGATCAGGCACGCCACATCGATGGGCCCATAAGGGAGAAAGACAGTCCTGCTGCACATCAAGCAGAGAGAACCATGCACTGCTGAGGCTGTCACGTGTCAAGCTCTGGGAATTTCAGTAAATTAGATGCATTCTCACCAGAGGCTGTTATTTTGAAGATGTCCTAAAAAGGCCTGATTTAAAATTCACTGGAGTTACAGTATTTCAATACTGCTCGTTACAGTAGGAGTTCATCTAGTTACCAGGCTTCTGTCCACAAATCCATTTCTGACCACTGTCATGCTTCATTGTTTCTGGCTGGAGCCAGGTTCTGTGGAATGACTGTTCAGTGCTCAGAGTGGTCTGCAGAGAATATGAACTTGCAATTGCACACTTTCAGTGGCTAATATTACTTCACTTTTGCTATCACCAGTTGGCATACAGAACCTACAAAGTCAGGCAGCAAACCCAGGACACAGGACACAATGCTGCATCCCAGCACCCACCACTTTGTTCCACTCATCAACGATTGATCACCCCAGCACGGAGTTTGGCCACAGAGCAGTGCAGCAGTGATTATAGCTCCAGCTGGGAAGAGCGAGGCCCTCGCAGGGATGGCTCTATCCTTTCCTGTGGACAGACTACATGAATGGCAGAAAATAAGCCTGATGTGCTGGTTCATGTTAGGCTTTTTTCAGATCCGCCCGGTTTTTATTCATCTTGAGTCTGGCTTCCACAGGGGCAGGAGGAAGGCCATCTTTGAAGAACAGTCAGAGGATGCTGTGCAACTGTACAATATCACCCTCAGTCACATAAATCACTTTTAAGGGAAGAGTTTCATAACAATCCCAGACATGCCTAATGGTTCCTCTGCCAGTCTCTGGACAAAGCCTGAGACTGTAAATAAAATGAAATCATTACGCAAAATTATATGTATTGCTACAGTGCTTGAGATCCCCAGATGAAACAACACCTTGCTTTCATAGAATGGCTCAGGTTGCAGGGGACCTCGAAGATTATTGAGTTCCAATCCCCCGCCATGGGCAAGATTGCCAACCAACAGATCAGGCAGCCCAGTGCCCTATCCAAGCTGGTCTTGAATGCCTCCACAGTTGGGGCATCCACAACCTGTTTGGGCAGCCTGCTCCAGTGCCTTACCACCATATGAGTACAAAATGTCTTCCTAACACCTAATCTAAATCTCCCCTTTTTTAGTTTAAAGCTATTTGCCCTTGTGCTGAGCAAAGCTCTGCCTGAAGTATTCGTCGTTCCAACAGAAAGGACCCTGGGGCTGGAAGAGGTTTGTGCCAGCTGAGAAGAGAGGTTTTGCAGTACCACACGAAGCAGGTAATTTGCTAAGCCTTATTTTTTATCATTGTCATTATTAAATACATTACCTGAGCCCTCTCCAGCACTGTAAAGCATGATAATCTCCTCAAGCTATGCTTCAGGATGCATATTATACCCCCCACCAAACTTATTGATTTAAGTAAAGTATGTGTGCTATATTTACTTACGGTTTTCAAGGCTCATGAATGCTATTGTAATTGTTTTCATAATACAGATCAATAAGTACAGTCAAAACAGGCCCTGTCTGCCTCAGGGGACAGCCATTAAGAGTGACTGGGTAACAGCTATTGCAGGAGATCTTTCTGCCCAGCAAACAAAAGAAACTTGCTTTAAGCTCTCCTTCGGAAAAAGCCTCAATTTGCAACTCAGTCCTTGAAGTGTTTTCTAAGCAAAGGTGACAAGAGCTTTCACTCAGAATTAAGGAATTGAGTTTACCTGGCAGTATGTTATTTTTTAATGTTCTAAATCTTAAAGCGTTTGAGAATTATCCATATTTAAATACACCCCACTCCATTGTTCTTGGTGAGGTTCATGCATGGCCAGGACACAGAGATCTGCCAGATAATCCCCAAAGTTTTTCATGCAGGAAAAATTTGTGAACACTACACTAGTGGACCATTTGAAGTAAAAAAGATACCAAATGCTAATAAAATAAAGGAAAAAAAATCCTCCCGTCTTCCTATATTAGGGAATTATTTGAGTGTGCTTGTTGCTCACTGCGAGATTAAATATGCCTTCCTATTTATGCAGCAAACTAGCGTATTTCTAAAGAAATAAATA